TTCAACTGTCAGACATGATTTGAAAAAAAAAAAGACCACAAAATTTCTTAAAATAGATTATAATACAGGAAATGTTTCATGAAACTACTAAGATGCTAGCCAGTGTTACGGCTAATATTAAAACTGAACATTCTATTTAAGTGGTATTCACACTAGTTCTACACACAGTGAACAATACAATCACAATAATCAGCCTCAAGCTAGCAACGGAGGTGTAAGGTCCATAAGAACTTCTTCAATAGGCAAAACACTATGGTACAATCAAAGCATTGAGGGAGGGGAGAAATCCTTTTAGTAGTATAAAAGTTGTTCAGTGTTGTTTCTACTGTAAAGCTTATCTACAATTCAAAATGAAAACGCAGTTGTATAGGTAACAGTGATCAGTGACTACAGTGTAGATAGTTCATCTAATGTGGCTGACAAACATCAGTATAACAGATTATGACTTAGTATTTATTACACAGTCATGATCAAAAGCAGAGCTCAAAACAAAGATATATACCCCACATCGGCACCCCATCATCATGTTTACCACATTTAGGGTTGACATACTATGTCTCAACTTATTTAACATTCTGAAATATAAACGCTGAATTTCTGCAATTTTTATACAATAGAGTTTAATGGTATTTAGATCCCCTCCCCCTATCCATGCCTCCTTTGCCCAATTTAATGTACTCTCATATAATGCATAATGCTCTTGCAAAGGACCTAGGTTTGATTCCCAATACGGATGTCGGGTGGCTCACAACTGCCTGGGACTCCAGCCCCAAGGGATTCAACACCTCTGGCCTCTGTGGACACCTGCATTCACATACACACACCACACACACAGACATACACACATATCATCATCTTTCTTGCTTTCTCCTGATTGAATACCAACAAACACAAGTCTACTTCATCCCATAACCCTAAATCACCCTATTCTACCTGTGGCCAGTCTCTCCAGATGGACACATCACCCCAGCCAGGCACATCACCTGTCAGTCTCAATGGCTCAGCCAGGGAATCCAGGGAATGGGTGGATGCATTGCAGTGCACCTGACTTCTGCATCTAGGCTCACTGAAGCGCACGGGTGTCTTCCCCAATGCTCTAAACACTTCTGACACATCAGCTCCACCTTAGGCATGTCTTTAACCATTTTTCTTTTAGCCTTCAGTTGTAAGATTGGAAGCATGTTTGTATACTTATTGTGTGATTGCTTAAATTCATTCATTTCTCTTACCTGCCTAATTAAATTATAAATCCTTGAGGACAAGGATTAGGTCTAAAATTTTTCTATATTACCAATAACATTTAATACAATCAACCCACAACAAATGTTCAATGTAAAAGGAACGAATGAAAAACTGAGACAACTTAACAAGATCATCACAAGGGATGGTATTCTGATAGGGAAGTGGAATCTACCCTTTCTCTCATCCTGGACTCCTCCCATAGACACTGGGTTCCCAGGTTCATGGTAGAGCAGAGTACAGTGCTTGCTGTCCCTGATGGTTAGGTCTACCTGCCCTTTAGGACACAGTGCTGTGCCCTCTTTTCTGTACACATTCACACAAAGGTGAATTGTGTGTACAGCCTCACTATTTAAATTCCACCTATATATGCAGATGCTTCCTAATCTGGATTCTGACCTGGCCTCTTACAGCTAACTGTCTGCTAAGCAATCTCCTTCACAAGCATCCCTAATTTTGCAGGTCTATAAAAATGTCTGATTCCCCTGCCCTGGTCCCAAATCTTCTCTTCCCCTTGTCTCAATACTGGGAAATAAAATCATTTCTTGTCAAAAAAAAGTACTCTCATATATAATACAGCCAATAGAGTCTGATTTTGTCCCTAAATGTCTTTCAGTGCGGGTCTATCCACTGGGCCCACCAAGAATCCCATCCCTGAAAGGCACTGTTTCTCCCTCTCCTAGCAGCTATCAGTTGCCAAAAGTTCCTTGGGTTGGGTTGGGATTTCTTACCCACTTTCCCATTTCTATGCTGGGATTTTGTCTGTTTTGAGCTTGCATAGGACTTGTGCTTGCTGTCACCATTGCTAACACACAGCTTCTTAAGAGAGTGTGATCCCCATGGTTCTGAAAAGCCCAATCTTAGAAGTAAACTGAGTGTTCTTCAGAGACCACATGCTCATCACACAGCAGGCACAGTGTGATGCTAATGTATCAGAGTTCTAGCCATCTATACACTCGTCCTTTCTTTCCCCTCCTTCCTACCTTCATACGGTGTCCAAAAAGCCAGTGGGAGGGCGTGGATGGGAACTCTTGGAGGACTTTAAGCAGCCACTGCCTACATAGGTAGAACTGTACTACTTTGAACAGTAACAGAAGTAGAATGAGCAGGAAGACCAGTTGAAGAATTCCAGAGATGCCATGAAGATTTCTGGTCAAGCCCAGCACAGAGAAACTCATAGTTCAGTGACTTCTGGATCACCAAGTGTCACACAACCCCCTGAACACACACATTTAAATCCTGAGGTTGCTCCACCTACTTGTGGGAGGGAGAATGATGAGCACAGAGATTGACCTCAGAGTCCAGAGTTGATTAACCTGCAACCTTGGAAACACTGAGATCAAAGCTCTATCAGCAGAGTTTGGTAATGGCAATGTATACACCCACTTTCCCTTCTCCATGTTACTCACAAATACATATTGAGAACATGCACATATTACATGCTATATAATTTTCTGGTTGGTGGTACAAGGCTACAAAAACATGTATTTACCCATATGTTGTTCTACTTTGCCAAATGTTTAACAGGCATAGCTGGTTATATTTTTGTCATGAGTTCAAGGAGAAAAATTATATCAAGAAATAATTGATATGTTCTGGTGAATTTAGTCACCAAGAGGCTGAATTTGCATAGTGATCCTTAACTTTAAATGCCTTGGTTTTTTCTTACATTTTCCCTCATGCTTGTCTTAACCACTTTCCAGTTAAAATCCAGGGTAATGTGCACCTGGATTCAGGAGGCTAAAGGGCCAGGTCAACCTCAGTACATATGTAGCCAGAAATGTTTTCTGTGCCTTGGTTTTTTTGTTTTGTTTTGCTTTGCTTTGTTTTGTTTTGTTTAAAAGTTGTAGGATAAGACTACATTTCCACCCACTGTGCCCATGCCCATGCTTTGGGACCATTTTTAGTCCTGTTCTCCAAGAGCTCAGGCCTTCTCTAATAGCTAGTAAGAACCAGCTAATTCTATTCCCATCAGCTCTTGTTGGGCCTTGGCCTGTCCTGCTGAGGTTGCTGGAGAGTGCCTGACTAACTGGGGTGAGTTACCCAAATCCTACCACACCCATCCTCCTGGTTTGGGACCATCTCTAATCTCCTTGCACTGCTCCAGAGTTCAAGTCTTCTCTGCTAGCTAGTAAGAACCAGGCCATCCTGTTTCCATCAGCTCTCCTTGGGCCTTGACCCTGATCCGCTGAGGCTGCCAGAGACCAAATGACTAGCAGGGAGAGATAGCCAGATCCTGTAGTGCAGGGTCACCATTCCCCTGCTTTGTGACCAGCCCCAGTTGACTGACTCCAGGGTTCACATTTTTCTTCCTTAGCAGATAAACCCATCTGATACCCATCACTTCGACTTGGGCCTAGGCTCTTTGACCTCCCAAAGAGCTCCTGACTAGCCTGCCTGGATCTATTCAGTCACTCCAATAAAAATATCCAGGTAAAAAAAAATGAAAAGAGAAGACCTGAAGCCCAGACCAAGGAAATATTCAAAAAAAGCAGCCAAGCTTTTATTTATATCAGCAATATAAATAGAATCAAACTACAACTCAACGAAGGCAGACAAGTTTCATACTAGAAACTCAAGCAATAAAAGATGTCCACATGCCCAGACCACAACAAAAAATTACAAATAATATGAAAAACCAAAATAATATGTTCCACCAAATCCCATCATTGTTCTACAATGAGAACTGACTATAGGAACCCATAACAGATGATTTAAAAGAACAATCAGAAACATGATCAAAGAATTCAACATTTTTAAAAAACACACAACTCAAAGAACTCAAATATGAAAGGGATAAACTTCTGACATAAACTCAAAAAATACAAATATATGAATGAATGAAATGACAAAGATGACAATTCAGAATTAAAGTGAATTCATAAGAGAGATAAAAATATTGTAGGAAACTCAGGCTGAAATGAAGATGGAACTCGAAAACTCAATAAATGAATTTGAAATGGCAGGAAAAAGCCTCACCAACAGAATGAACAAAATGGAAAATGAAATACCAAAACTGGACAACAAAGTTGAAGAATCGGACTGCTCAAGCAAAGACTAGGAAAAAAAATCGAACACAGAAATGGAAAATGCAGACACTATAAAAAGACCAGGTTTAGGCATCATGGGCATAGATGAAGAAGAAAACTCCCAGGACATTAACATTTACCAGATCTTCAATATGATTATAGAAAAAAAATCTCTAAATTAAGGAAAGACATACCCACATAAATGTAAAAAACACAGAGGACACCAAATAGGACCAGAACAGAAACTCACTCCCTATGACATATCAGAGTAAAAACACTAAATGTACAGAACAAAAAGAAAATGCTGAAAGCTTCAAGAGAAAAACAACAACTCACATATAGAGGAAAACCCACCATTATTACAGTTGACTTTTCAATGCAAACTATAAAAGCCAGAAGAGCCCGGAGCAAAGTATTACAAGTTCTAAATGATCATAGATGCTAACTCAGAATACTGTACCCAGTTAAACTGTCTATCATAGTCAAGGGGGAAAGAAAAACCTTCCAAGTCCACAAAACCAGTCTTACAGAGAATACTTGAATCCATACAAAAGACTGAAGAAAGGAATGACCAATATATAAGTCAATTGGACAAAGAATAAACAGAGAGACATCTGAATTAAATTATATCATACATCAAATGGACCTAACAGACAGCTACAGAATATTCCATCCAAGCACCAAAGAATATACATTCTACTCAGAAGCCCACTGGAAGTTTCTCTAAAATTGACCACACACTGTGGCACAAAATAAACCTTACCAAATACAAAAAAATTGAAATACCACATATTCTATCAGACTACAAACAATAAAGCTTAAAAATCAACAGCAAAAGAAGCTCTAGTTACTATACAAACTCATAAAGTTTAAACAACACACTCATAAATGATGAATGGTCAAAGAAGAAATCAAGAAAAATATGTAAGTATTCCTGGAACTAAATAAAAATGAAAATACAACAGAACAAATCTGGAACACATTAAAAACAGTCCTAAGAGGGAAGTTTATAGCCCTAAGTGCCTACATTAAACAATCAGAAAGAGCACAAATAAATGACTTAATGATACAACTCAAGAATCTGGAATGAAAAGAATAATCCAAACTAAGCAGATGGGAAGAAATAACAAAAAATCAAAGCAGAAATTACTGAAATAGAAACAAAACAACGCAAAGAATTAATGATTCTAAGAACTGGTCCTTTCAAAAGATAAACAAGATAGGCAGACACTTAGCCCAGTTAACCAAAAGAAAGAAAGAGCAAATCCAAACCAACAAAATCAGAGAAGAAAGGAAAATCATCAGAACAGATACCAAAAAAATCCAGAACATTATAAAGGAATACTTTAAATATTTACATGCTAGTAATGGGAGAGATCACTCAGAGGTTAAGAACACGAACTGTTCTTGCAGAGGACCCAGGTTCTATTCCCAGCACCCACATGGCAGCTAATAATCATCAATACCTACAGTTCCAGGAGAATCTGACAACCTCTTCTGACCTTCAAGGGCATTGCACAATATAGATACACTTACACACATGCAAGAAATACACTCATACACAGAAAGTAAAAATAAATAAAATAAAAACCTATACTCTATAAAATTTGAAAACCTAAAAGAAATGGATGAATTTCTAAATTCATGGAAACCACCAAAGCTAAACCAAGAAGGAATCAACATATAAACCGATCCATAACAAATAAGGAAATTGAAACAGTAATACAAATCCTCCCCACTATAAAATGCCTTGGCCCAGATTGATTCACAGACCTTCAAAGAAAAACTACAACCAATATTACTTAAATTATTCAAAGAGACAGAAACAGATGGAGAAATTCCAAGCTCTTCCTATGACACCAGTATTACCTAATTATCTAATACCAAAAATGGGAAAAAAGATCTTCCACCATGATCAAGTTGGTTTTATTCCAGAGATGCAGGAAAGGTTCAATATATGGAAGTCAATTAATGTAATAAATCATTTTAATGGACTTAAAGGCAAAAATCACATCTCTAAAACTCTAATTGGAGAAAAACAACCCTTCCCATTTAAATCAGAAACAAGACAAGACTACCCACTACTCCTACTCCTTTTTTTCCTTTTTAATATAGGGCTTGAAACTCTTGCTAGAACAATAAGATGAGAGAAGGAAATTAAAGGAGTACCAATTGGAAAAAAATATGTCAAATTATTCCATAAGAGAGCCCAAAAATTTCAACAGGAAATTTCTAGAAATGATTAACATGTTCAGCAAAGTGGCAAGTTACACAATCAACTTAGAAAACTCAGTAGCCTTTCTATAGACCAATAATAAGTAATCAGAGGAAGAGTTTGTGAAAATGCTCCTATTCACAATAGCCTCCAAAAAAATCTAGGAATAAACCTAATAAAGGATATTAAAGATCTCTATAATGAAAATTTTAAATCTTTTAAAAAAGAAATTGAGGAAGACACAAGGAAATGGGAAGACCTACCATGCTTATGCATTGGTAGAATTAACATTGTGAAAATGATCACCCTAAAAAAGCAATTTATAGACTCAATGCAATCCCAATAAAAATCCCCATGGCATTCTTCATAGAATTAGAAAAAACTATCCTAAAATTTATATGGACTCACAAAAGACCCCAGGTAGCCAAAGCAATCTTGAGCACCAAGTGAAATGCTGGGGGGGTTATCATACCAGATTACAAATTATTTTGCAGAGCTATAGTTGTAAAAACAGCATGGTATTGGCATAAAAACACACATATGGATCAATAGAACAAAGTAGAAGACTCAAACATGAGTGCACAAAGTTTCAACTACCTGATATTTGACAAAGGTGTTAAGAACTCACACTGAAGGAAAGACAGCATCTTCAACAAATGGTGCCAACAAAACTGGATCTCTACCTGCAGAAGAATGAAATTAGAACTTTATCTATCACCTTGCAAAAACTCAACTCCAAATGGATCAGAACCATCAATGTGAAACCTGAAACTCTGAAAATATTAGAAAAATATAATGAATAAAATATTTCTGAAAAAGAATTTGTCAAAATGGGGCTGGCAAGATGACTCAATGAGTAAAAGTGTGACAGCATACACACACACACACACGCACGCACGCACACATGCACGCACGCACCCACGAGCACATGCATACACACAACAAATGTTTTTTTA